ACCAGGACGTACTCAATTAGCTAAAGATAATAATATGACAATAGAAGAAATGAATGAAAAATGTATGGAAGGAAGTTGTTTAAAACGAATTGGTCAAGCAGAAGATATTGCTAATTTAATTGTTTTTGTCATTTCTGATCTATGTCCATTTATGACTGGTGCTAATTTAGTTGTTGATGGTGGTAATTTAATTATATAAACTATTAACACATAATATTTAATCAAGCCTTAATATGAACAATCTTTTGTTTTGAATTGAACTAAAATAAAAACCGTTTTTTTCTTTTCTGTTTGAATTACAGTTAGATTCTTTGACTTCCGTCCGATTTATTAAAATTCAGTTTAAACAAATGTTACGTATCTAAATTGATGTTCAAGATCCATCAGCTCAATGTGCTAATTCTAAATTAGTCCGTATCAGCTAATGTACTGTTTCGAATATTATCTATAATTGTATTGCGCTTTTGTTTATATATATATATATATATATATACATGAAAAACAACGTAATCAGTCAGTACATATATATCAATGAAAGTGAAAAACAACATATGTGGATGCACTAAGAAAAAACCTATGACACTGGGACAAAAATATGATAATGACAAAAAGTATTGAAAAAGTATATGAATTAAGATCCAAAGTTAATTTGATTCTTTTGTAGGTTTTTTCTAAGATAAAAAGGAAAAAACTAAATGATATCATCTTTCAGCGAAAATAATAACGTGTTACGCACAAATAGATATTTTCTTTTACCTTTTTTACCAACAAGAAAATGATAGAACAAGAAAGAATGAATAAAAAATAATGAATAATCGATATTTGTTTGTATATATATATATATCGAATAGAAGAAAAAAATCAGTCTCTTTTTGCACTATTACACCCAGTCAATTTTGTACACTTGAGAAAGCTCTTACAATTTATATTTATTTGTTGCATAAATATGAACCAAATCAAACGACAACTAAGTTTAACTCAATCGATTGATGTGGAAACAAAAAAGCTACGAAGTAAATGAGAATTATATTAGAGTATTATTATTTTTTCATTTTTTTTTTCTTTAGCAAGATCGAGCGACGAAAGGTAACCAATAAACGCATCTGTTTAAATGTATAATTTTTTTTCTTATTTTTTTTCAGTACATCGTATACCTGCCTTGAAGATTTATCAAATGAAGTTTTGTACGAAATATTGGAAAATCTTGATGGTTGTGATATATATAAATCATTTTCAAATCTTAATAATCGTTTACAAACCCTTATCACTTCTTCATCATTTTTACTTCAAATAAAACTTGTTCCAGAATCAAAACATTTACTCGAAGATCATTGTCAACATGTTATTATTCCAAATTCACATCGTATTCGTTCACTTCATTTGCATGGTCAATCATTGATTGATACTTTCTTTAATCATTGTATTATTGATTCATCATTTCATCGTCTTCAATCAATCCGTCTCAATGGACTTAAAGTGGAGAAACTACTCATAATTCTTTTTTATTTAAAATCTTTACCTCGTCTCTTTACACTAACCATTTTTATAAACGATGAAAATTATGATGATCTTCATCTTGAAAATATTTATCCATTAATTTTTTCTTTACCTACATTAAAATATAGCAAATTATCTACACCTGGTTCTGCATTCCGAATGAATATTACACATGCAATGAACAAAACGTTTAGTACAATCGAATATTTAGTTATTGATCATTATTGTACTCTTAATGAACTAAATTCTATTCTCCATTACACACCACAGCTTCGTCGTTTGTCTTGTAATAGAGTGATTGGATCAGATGAAAAATTCAAAGAAGATCTATCGATGAAATTACCACATTTAAAATGTATTCGTTTTGGAGAAATTTGGGCTGCATTCGATGAATTTGAAGTGTTTATTAAGGAAATATCGTCTCAATTACAAATATTGAGAATTCATATATGTTCGAAGAAAGATTATCTTAATGGTAACCTTTGGGAACAATTAATTAAAAAATATATGCCTCAATTAAAAACATTCGACTTTCACTTTGATCAGTATTTTGGTGATGAATGCGAGATAGATTTAAGTGATTTACTTGATGAATTCATTAATCGATTCAATTCACCATTCTGGATTGAACGAAAATGGATTCGTGAGCTACAAGTATTATCCAGAAAAATATTTTTTTCAATTCATCCATACAGGTATATTCAGGCAAATCTTTCATAAAATGATTCCATGTATCTTTTTGTTTTCTCTTTATTAGGGAAGAATGGATTGGTCGTCATGAACATATGAATACTGACACATATTCGAAACAAAATTCGATGGAAGATAATTACATTTCCAATCAAGAAAAAACTGATCATCGTATTATGGAATTGACTATTGGGAATAATGAATATACCACACTTAACAGGCGATATATTAAGAGATTAAAATCTGCCGTTAAAGCGATTCAATTCACTCATTTAGATATAGATAACGATGGCATGTCTATTAAGATGTTACTCGATATTTTATCTTTATTGCCAAATATTGAATCATTAAAACTGTCATTTATACCAATACTTCAGTTAGAATCTGTATTTATTGAGGATACCAAAAATTATCAATCAGTATTGGCTTTTAACAAACTAACAAAAGTCAAACTCGGTCAAGTTACAGAAGAACAACAAATTCAGTTTTTTATCAATCTTTGTCCACATATAGAATATCTTGAAGTAGAATGTATGTCAAATACAGGTGTTCCATCACTTATGAAACTTATTTCAATGAATCGAAGGACACGTATTCCTAATCTCTGCTATCTGTGCTTCATTATTCCTATAGCAGATGAAAACATGGTTAGAACTTTAGCAATGACAATCGATTCCGAGACAGTTATTGATAACTATACAATTCAGCGCAGTGGCAACAAAATAAGTATACAATGGACATTATAAGAAATTATATATCGTGAAAATTGATTTACTTTTTATCTTTATTTTTTTATATATAAAAATAGTACGATCAGTACACAAGATTAGTTAGAATCAGTTGTTTCATACTTTGCGACATATTTTCTTAATGGCTCGGACTCGAAAGTTCAATAATGCTAACTCAACTGTATGACTCTAGCCATTTATTTGAACAAAATTTTTTCTTTTGCTCTTACAAAATAAACTACAACTTATAAAAGCAGTTTTTCTTAGGATATCTTGTAATTATTTAACTTTATATAAAATGTCAATAGTCAACAAAATAGGTAATTATCTACATACAATCTCTACTAAAATGGTTTCATTGCAATTATGAAAAAATGAAGATTACTAGTTATCGAAATTCAGTTTTCTCTATTTATTTCGGTAATATATATGTATATGCAAATATTTTATTCTTTTAATGTAATTATATTCTTTCAAAATTTATACATTAAACTATATAATTTTTATAAAAAAAATTGTCTTTGTATAATAGATTTGTTAACACAATTAACTTTGATATGTTTTTGGATATGGAGTTGATATAACACCAGGATAAGGTGGTGGTAATGTTTCTCCTACCATATATGAATTTTGATATGAATATGGAGTACCAGATGGTAAAACAATGTATGGACTTCGATAATATGCGAGTGCTCGCATTCTTCGTCTACGTGCGATGATACTTAAAGTGACAATGAACAATAACATGAACACAACTACAGTTGGTAATAGAACGGGAAGCATTGTATTGATAGGTGAATAATTCGTTTGACATGTACGTGATCCAGAATCACAATTTCCAGATAGACATGCATAATCATATGTACAAAGTTGACCATTAGTTTTTTTAGATTGGCAAGTATAACTTGAGTCAGAATCGCAAAATCTTGAAGTACCACATTGTCGTGGATGCGTGTAGTAAGGAGAACATTTTTGATAGAGTGGAGTTGGTAGTTGACATTGATAATTTTCACAATAATATTCACAAGGACTATCATTAGTACATGAACAACCATATGTGCAACGAGCATAAGTCGCAACAGGCAGTAAAGCAATGGTAAGAAAGACCAGAAACATCTTCATCATGGTTAATGTAAAAATGACTCTATAGAAGTAAAATTCATGTGATATTTATGAGAAGATGATAAGCATATTTACTCTTTTATATAAATTCTTATCATGCATGACACAAGTTTAGATAAAACAAAATAACGTCATTTTTTTTATCAAATATTCGTTTTTTTTTCTAGATAGATGCAAAACTTTAAATAGTATCATCTATTTATATAAAACTTTCTTTATTGTAATTAAGATATTTATTTCATTCATGATATAGAAATAATATTTACAAATATTTTATAAAAATTCTTGAATTACATAATCTTACGTAATTGACTTCACTTATGTAATCTTAGCTTATTTCTTTTTTTTTAAATAAATTCAGTTATTTCAATAAAAGATAATTAGATAGTGGAATAACTAGCGTAGGTGTGAAAAGTACAGTGAATAAAATGTGGAGTATGATCGACAGTAAAAGATAGAATGATGAAATCCAAACTAGTTGGATCAATTTTAGCTATAGAAAATGTATCACATGTACGTTTTTTTAAAAGAAAACACTATTTATAAACTTAAAATGTTTCAAATTCACTTAGTTTTTAGCAAGAGCAAAAACAAATGATTCAACCTACGAAAACCACTGAAATATAAAAATATTAAAGTCACACTTATACTTTATTTATAGATCGTATAAATTAAAAAACGATCACCCAGAAAGCTTTTACACATTCATTATAAATAAATTATGAATTCATATGCTTCAATATTATGAGAAACATTAAATTGCCATAAAACAGTATCATTAATTCAAGAAAAATCTTCTCCATTTCGATTTTCGACGATTGAAAAAACTATTGTGTTTATACAACCGTTATAATATATTCATATATCGTTTTTACTTGGAATTTTCCGTCATCTACCATTTCTACGTAATAAAGATAGTATCATTAATATCGCGGGTATATCATATGACTTCACATGGATTCGGTTAATTTATTATCAATAAAAAAGAGAACAAGTTTTTTTTCGATTTACCTGACTATGCGCTTCTCGTCCCCGTCATATGTTATTCAATGAGTAAGCAAAACATGCTTGTCAACTGACAAACAGAAAACATCCCAGGAAATATCCAAATAAGAAAAACTATAAAAAGAACTGATTACTTCTTCATAATAATCATAGTTATTTTCATCGTATATGCTAAAAAATAGACTATTGAAATAAATCATGAATAGATTGCAGTCCAAGCAAATATGTACTGTACCAACAAATGCTATGGAATTAATTCAATCGTCTACATTACATATGCCAACGGTACTTAATGATTCTTTACCTGTCAGACGAAGTTCTCTGGCATATTCCAGTATTAAACAAAATTTCGTTCTTGTATGGTTAGATGATAATATAAATAAAATAAACAATAAAAAGTATTATGACATAATAACAACATTAAAAAGTATTGTATATACAATTGATAAATTTGACAATATTAGAGAATGTATGAATTTTCTCAATGAAATTAAAAATGAGAAAATATTTTTAATTGTATCTGATAAGCTTGGTCAACAAATCATACCACGCATTCATCATATGTGTCAACTTGATTCAATATATATACTTAATCGAAATACATCACAAAATATTCAATGGATAACTGGTTGGTGGAAAATACAGGGTATTCACAAACAAATAACATCAATGTATAAATCTCTTAAAAAAGCTGCACAACGATGTGATTATAATTCGATTTCAATGAGTTTTGTTCCAATAGATGATAATAATGATACTGAGGTTGATCATACATTTATGTATACACAAATTTTGAAAGAAATTTTATTTGAAATTGAATATGATGAAGAATCTATTAGAGATTTTACTACTTATAGTCGTGAGTGTAATTATGGAGATTTTAATATTATTGATAAATTTAGACAAGAATATAATTGTCAAAAACCTATTTGGTGGTATACCTATCCTTGTTTTTTATCTTCCATACTTAATAGAGCTCTTCGTACTCTCGAAATAGATACTCTTATTAAATTAGGCTTTTTCATCTGTGATCTCAATCGTAATATTAAACAATTACATAATGAACAGTTACATAGTCGATCTACAGAACCATTTATTGTTTATCGTGGTCAAGGCATTCCTAAGAATCGTTTCGAAAAGTTGATGAAAACAAAAAATGGATTAATGTCTTTCAACAATTTCTTATCAACAAGTACAGATAAACAAGTTTCTCTTGCATTTGCTGAAAGTAATCGAGATAATCCAGATATGGTAGGAATACTTTTTCAGATGACTATTGATCCATCAATTCTATCAACACCTTTTGCCTATGTCAATGATATTGGCTATTACAAAGGTCAAGAACAAGAAATTCTGTTTTCTATGCATACACTTTTTCGAATTGTTGATATTAAACCTTATGAAAATGACAATCGAATTTGGCTTGTAGAATTAAAAGCAATCAACGATACGGATCATCGACTAAATAAACTTACAAAAAATATACGATTGGAAACTCGAGGATCTACTGGATGGGATCGATTAGGACGATTATTGTTAAAATTAGATCAATTCAATAAAGCTGAACAGGTTTATAAACAATTACTTAGTCAAGCATCAACTGATATTAAAAAAGCATATATATATAATCAACTTGGAAAAACAAAAAATCATCAAGGAAATTATATGGATGCAATATTATATTTTAGAAAAGCATTAAAAATTCATGAAAATACTTTTCCTTCACATCAGATTTCTTTAGCTAGTTGTTACAATAATATCGGTCAAATGTATCAACGTATGGGAGAATATCCGAAAGCACTTCTTTTTCATCGAATAGCATTGGATATTAAACAAGATATTCTTCCATTAGATCATATTGATTTAGCTGAATCTTATGGACATATTGGTTTATTATATGAGAAATTAGGTGAACATCATAAAGCTCTTTTATCACATAAGAAGCATTACGAATACGTCAAAAAAATCTACCAAATAATCATCCAAGTTTAGCGCATTCCTACAAAAATATTGGCTCCGTATATAATAATATGGGTAA